TTTGAACACTTTAAAGAGGTCTTGTGCAGCAGATTTGCCTACTGTAGTGGTTACGACTCGGGCTGCGAACCTTAAGGTCAGCGGTTCGAAACTACCAGCCGCTCCGTGGGAGAAAGATGAGGCTTTCTACTCCCGTAAGGACTTACACCCTCAGAAACCCTATACAGGGTCGCTATGGGTCGGAACCGACTCGAAGGCACTTAACAACAACAATATGTCATTTGATTTCTTGACTGCTGCTTCCATGAGTGTTGATGGTGGACAGAGCAAAATGAAGTCTTTGACAACTTTTATCTTTTTTCCATCTATCTTGATGTTATTTATTGGTCCAGTGGTCAGGATTTTTGTTTTCTTTACCTTGAGGTGCAACCCATTCGGAAGGCTGTGCTCTTTGATCTCCATCAGTAAGTATTTTAAGTCCTCCTCACTTTCAGCAAGCAAGGTTGTATCATTTGCATATCAAAGGTAGTTCAAGAGTTGCCCTCCAATCTTGAAGCCACATTCTTCTTCATATAATTTAGCTTCTCTTGCTCAGCATACAGATTGAATAAAGATGGTGAAAGAATAGAACCCTGGTGCATACCTTTCCTGATTTTAAACCATTCAGTGTTCCCTTATTCTGTTGGAATGCTAGGCCCAGAGAATAAATCCAGTAACCCAGCTAGACAAGGAAGATAGATCCTACCTTCTCTTCCAGCTCTTCTCCCACTAAATTCACCTGGCTCACAGAATTAATTCTCTTCATCCTTCTGAAGTCGCTACTGAAATCTCCTGTCCACACTAATCCTTCCTTCGGTCTCTAGTTTACATCCCATCCCCTGGATGTGACAGTCCCTTCCTGTAAAGATTTACAAACTTAGAAACTCTATAGGGAACTCTACAGGTCCCTATGAGTCAGAATGTTTTGTTGTTGTTGTTAAGAGCTCCGTGGAGTCAGTTTCAACTCATAGAGACTCTGCACAGGGTTTCCAGGAGCAGCTGGGATGTACTCAAGGACAATATACTAGAACTTTCCTAGACTAGAAGGGCCCTTGGGGCTGAAAGAGCCTCATCCAACTCCAAGTTCCCAGCAGTCAGGATCAGAGGGAGGAGACCGACAGCAAAGCAGCAGGAATCCAGAGTCACCTCTGATCCCATCTCCCTAATGGCTGAAGAGAAGGAAGAAATCCAGGCAGACACAAACCCCTTCCAGGCTGGGTTCACACACTCTGGTCAAGTAAACCCAGAGCTGCCTAGGTCCCCCATTCCTGGCATGGCGCTGTGGGATTAAAGTGGTGGTGGTGGTGGTGATGTGCCGAGGAGTCGGTTTCAACTCATAGCGACCCTGCACAGGGTTTCCCAGGCTGTAAATCTTTATGGGAGCAGAAAGCCTCTTCTTTTTCCTTCGGAACAGCTGGTAGTTTTGAACTGCTGATCTTCACAAATTTGGTTTGAACTACAAGGTTGGTGGTTCAAATTCGGGGCTGAGAAATCAGTTCTGACTCATAGCAACCCTGTCCAGGTTTCTGAGACTGTAAATCTCTGGAGTCCTGGTGTGGTACTGTAGGATAGGCACTGAACGGCAAGGTCAGCAGCTCAAACTCACCAGCCGCTGCTCGGAAACCCTATATACAAGGTCACTATGAGTTGGAACCGACTCGATGGCACTTAACAACAACTGGTTAAGGTGGGAAGAAAGGCCTGAAGGTCTGTTTCTATCAAGATTACCAGCCAAGAAAATGTCATGGAGCATTTGTACTGTCGCAAAAGTTCGCTGCCCACTAAAAAACCCACTGCCAACAAGTCGATTCCGACTCATAGAGACCTTGTATAGAGTTTCCAAGACTAGCTTTTTACAGGAGCAGAAACCATCTTTCTCCATAGAGAGACTGCTGGGTTTGAACTGTTGGCCTTGCAGTTAGCAGTCTAGTATTTATCCTACAGCGCCAGGGGTCACAAGATCACCAAGAGTCAAAATTGACTGGCTCAGTGAGAACTGGTTTGCTTTTGCTTCTGAACTTTACTTAAAGAAAGGTTCGTGGGTGTTGCAAATGGTTACGCATTCAAGTACTTCTAAAAGGCTGGTAGTTCAACCCCACCAGAGGTACCTCAGAAGGAAGGTCTGGCTGCTTCTGTGTGGTGTGGTGTTGTAAAGTGCCATTGAGTCAGTTCTGACTCAGAGTGACCCTGTATATGGTTTCCAAGGAGCAGCTGGTGGGTTTGAACTGCCAGCCTTGTGGTTAACAGGCCAGTGCTTATCCTACAGCGCCACATCAGAGCTCTTGTGTGGTGTGTGCCATCAAATCAGTTCTGACTCATAGTGACACTGTTTAGGTTTCCAAGTAGCAGCTGGTGAGTTTGAACCGCCAGCCTTGAAGTTCAAAGGATCTTGGCGGTTCAGAGCTTATCCTACAGTGAGTGCCGCATAAAGACAGCCTTGTTGTTGTTAAGTGCCGTGAAGTCGGTTCCGACTCATAATGACCTAGTACAGAGTTTCCAAGGCTGTAAATCTTTACGGGTGGAGAAAGCCTCATCTTTCTCCCACAGAACAGCTGGTAGTTTCGAACTGATGACCCTGAGGTGAGCAGCCTGATTCGTAACTACTATGCTACCACAGCTACAGCCTAGCCTAGTAGAAAGTAAGAGAATTTTGCAGGGCCTTGTTCTGGAACCTCTTAAAGTCCTCTACAAGCCCACTGGCTCCAAGGCTGCCCAGAGGGGAGAGGGGTGCTGGCCTGTAGTTTCTGCCTGGCCCTGCCCACCTCTCGGCCCCAGTCATGTGACCGGCCCTGCCCAGCTGCTCTGATGACTTGCCCAGCAGGTTCCAACCTCCAGGCTTTAGCCCTTCACTGTTCTCTCCACACTTATTTCCTCTCCATTCCTGTGGCCCTGCTGAATTCCTCCCACCCTCCCAGTCTTGGGCAGGAAGGGGTTTTCTTTCTCTGGGAGTGTGCTATGAGCTATGTTCCAGGTTGGGATTCATGCATAAAACACCAGAACAGCGCTCAAAAGACACAGAGCTGCACAACAAGGGGCTTGAGTCCCCAGGACACAGAAACTGATGGAGCACCAGCCAGCCTTTGGTTGTATTGTGGACAGAAGGGGAGGGTGGTCACCATGCAGACGTGGCAACAAGGAAAAACAACAAATTAGAACAAATAGAAAGACATCTGGCAATGCTAACAACCAGAGCACGGGTAGGTCCTTTGGGGAGAGTGAGGTGGTGTGATTGGGGAGGGCTAGCCAGGAGGCCACAGTTGTAACGACCTGTTTTTCTATTCTTAGAGGAGAACGGGTTTATTAAAATCACAGTGAAACACCATAAAAATAAAACAAAACAGGAACAACCGACAACAAAAACAAAACAGGTCAACGGAATGGGCCACAGGCCACATCACTGCATCCGTCAGAGCTGTGTGATCTTGGATGAGTGACTCTACCTCTCTGAGCTCATCTGCAAATGGCGTTAACACCAGAATTCACCTACGGGGCTGCTGTGAGCACTCAATGTAGGCCCCATGGGTGTCAAAACCCGAGAACAGAATGCACAGAAAAACACTCCGGAAGAAGGGACTGTCCTGAGTATGACCGCTTTCTGCTTCTTCCCTTAGTGTTGTGCAGGTTGGGAGGGGTGCGGGGGGCGGTGGCGGGGCCGATGCAGACCTTGGATCAAACTCCCCCCCTTGCCCCCTCATTTTCCTACAGCTGTGGGACTTTAGAAACAGGAGTCTCTGCTCGGGTCTTAGTCTTCTCATCTATAAAATGGGAGTAATACTCATTCCTCACCTGTCCAGGGTGGTTGTGAGTCACAGGAACATTGCCCAGGAAGACTCAGAACAGGGCATATCCATGGTGGTTGTGATGGGGGGAGATGTTACTGCCCTTAGTGGTATCTGAAACGTCAAACCAAACCAAACTCCCTGCCAAACACGATTCCGACTCATAGTCACCCTACAGAGGGTGTCTCAAACTGTCAGTCTCCACGGGTGTGCACAGCCTCATCTTTCTCCTGTGGTGTGTCCGGTAGATTTCAATGACCGACCTTGCAGCTAGCAGCCCAATACCTCACACATACTGCCACCAAGGGCTCATTTGTTGTTGTTGTTGTTGTTGTTAAGTGCCATCAAGGAGTTGCTGCTAAGTTCAAACCACTGACCTTGCGGGCCAGTGCTTTAGGCCCACAGTGCCACACATATCAGGGGACTTCAACCAGTTTGTGGGATAAAAAGAGAATGGAATTTTTCCGGGAATTTTTTTGAAGTCCATTGCTGTTCTTTCTCAAGTGTATCTATGTAACGGTGTATCAATGAATTCGAGGATCACTGTAACTCAGCATTCAGCTGCTAACCAAAAGGTTGGCAGTTCAAACCCGTCCTATGGCTCTGTGGGGAGCCAGGCCTGCTGATCCGCTCCCATGATGGTTACAGCCAAAGAAGCCCCATGCGGCAGTTGGAAAGGACCCCAACGGCACCCCACACCACCACCTGCTCGTCACTGGAAGGCTCAGCTGTTGCTGCTGCTTCCTGTGGTCTCTACCAGACCCCTCACACCCAGCAGAGGGATAACATCACTGACAAGGCAAGGCTGAGCAGGGGCTCCCTTTATTCATTCAGGGTGGGCTTGGGAGAAACAGTGCAACTTTATAAAGTCCAGGACGCCGGGGAAGCAAGTCTGCCAGAGGCAGAAAAGCGCAAGGGTTTCCGGAACTTTCCAGGGTGGGAGAGAGGGGGGCGCTGCCCCCTCAACATACCAGTCATGGCTGCTGGCGTGGAAAAGGGCCAAGTGGACCCAGGATGAGATCGGGGTGCTCGCTCTGTGAGACGCTTGGAGCCTTATTCACCTGTCCTTGTCACAGATGACAGTGTGCAAACCCCTGGACACGGAGTTACACGCCGTCCACCAAGAGGCTCCGCTTGGCCTCTCTTGGCCTAAGAAGCATTCTGCCGTGCGGGATGGGACGGGTGTTGGGCCTCCAGCCCCAGTGTGTCTGGTCTTTCTTCTGTGGACCCCCAGTCAAGGCATCACACAGGAGTCTCGGCAGCCACCTTCTTCAGGAGCCCAGCGGAGAGCGGGGAGTGCTGACCCTCCAGGCCCTCTGCGTCATGGAGCCTCAGGCGGACTTTCTGATTGGTCCTTCTCCACTCGGAGTACAGCTGGCAATGGTAGCGGAAGGAGACCTGTGGGGCAGTGGAAAAGTGGGAGGTGAAGGCCATCTAGCCTCCGCCCCCACTGGAGGAGGACAGGAACCCGGGGCACTGGCCTAGGCCCAAACAGGCTGGACTCTGCACAACCCCCGCCTCCCCACCAGCACCAAGGCCTGCCAAGGCGAGGTGGGGTCTGTGGCAGGGAGCAAGCAGTACTCTGGCTTTCTCTCCTCATCCACACCATTGCTCCTCTGCAAGGGTGGAAGGGAAAGGAAATAGTCCCGATCCAGGAAAACCAAGAAACATTTGCACAGGTGCCCAATGTACTGTTCACTGTGGCAGAGATAATGTAGGAATGGAAAAAAAAAACCATTGGAAAGAATGCCAATGTCCATCCAAAGAGACTGCTTCCACAGATGGTGCAGTCACAAAGGACACCACTAAGCGCACTTCGGACACCCACACATTCTCAACGGGGTGTCAAAATGTGGGTAGAAAAAGTTCATTAACTTTTCATTCCATTTTTCCATGAACTTTTGGAAGCCCCCTCGTATGTCCATATATGTGCGTGTCAGTGGGGCGGCTGGGGTGGGGGGGATGTATGGTGGGTGAGATGTTGAGTTGGTTTTGGCTCGCAGTGACCCTTGTTTCGGGTCTCAGAGGCTATAAATCTTTACGGGAGCAAAAAGTCTCATCTGTCTCCCGAGGAGCAGCCAGTGGATTTGAACTGTGAACTTTGCAGCTCAGCTTGTAACCCACTATGCCACTCCGGCTCCTTATGTCTGTGGATACCAAAAACAAAGACTCTGAAGTGGGATGGGGTCAGGGGGTACAGGCACAGCTGGTTTTATTGTGCCTCCCCGCTTCACTACACAGCACACACAGCATGCTTTTCACAAATGCATCCTTTCCCCAGCAGCTGGGGCTCCCTTCAGGTCTGTGACACACTGTGGTCATCCTCACTACACTCCAGAGGGTTTCAGCATGCTACTGCCCACTTCATGACTTTCCTAGGCACTGGGAAACCCAGACACCTCCAGGCATTCGCTGACCGTGGTCTTGGCTTGATTTTGGTGGTCTGCAGCCGAGCTCATACGATCTCTGAGGTCTACCGGTATCATACCTGTGCAGTCTCTGCCAGCACTGTGAGCTGTCCCCATGAATGATCAAACTCACAGGGGCAAGGGAGCCAGCAGGTCCCAAAGCTGGGGTGTCATGTGCACCCCACTTGCGGCTGGCATCTGCCATGTGCTGGAGAAGGGCATGCCTCTGCTTTGAGAGCTCTGACTCAGCTCCAGAGATGAGGGTCCGAGCGTGCCAGGGTGCAGCATGGTGGGACGGAGGGGTGGCGATGTGAGGGCGGGGTTACTTTCCCACATCTGAAGAGCCAGATGCACGCTGGTCCTTACTGGGCACACTCCTTCCCTCCCCCACCATCCCCAGCCTTGATAAACTCCCAGGTGGGTGGGGAGACCTGCACACAGGCCTGTCCCCAGAAACCTGAGCCTTTGTAAGGCTTAGAACCTGAGCCCCAAGAAAGCCTGGGGTGAGCTCAGGGCATGGCCCTCACACGTCCTGGCCCCAGTGTCCACTCAGGGCCATAAATAAACGCAGGCAGGTAGGCAGGCACGCACACACAGGCGGGCGGCTTGGAACCGGAGCCCCCAGAACCAATTGGCCACTCACCAGAGTCCAGAGAACGTAGATGGTGAAGAGGGCAATGGTGAGGGCGATGAGCCCCACAGCCTCCAGCCGGCTGTGAAGCCGTAGGTGGTCCTGAGCCCCCCGCAGGCACAGCCAGCCCGAGATGGCAGCCAGCGGCGTGATGAACAGGAAACACACCATGTCACAACACAAAGTTCGCTTCTCCGTCCGGGGACCTGGGTCCTTCAGCCACTAGACAAGGAGAAGTGCTGCTGAGGGGCGTCTCCCTGCTACCCCTAACAGGTGGCTGTGAAGAGCACTGGGGGACACACCCCGCCTGGGCACCTCGCTTCCTCTCCCTCACTCTGGGCCTCAGTCTGTCCTCTCACTCCAGTATTTGATGAGTCTGCAATGGACCAGGTCCTGCTAGATGCTGCTGTGAATGGGCTAAAAGGGTCCCTGCCTTCTGGTAGAAATGGGTGAGCTTTTGGAGAGGAGCCAGGTTTGCTGAGGAGATGACCAGGAGGAGCCTTATGAAGGAGGGGACGTGGTATTCTATCTGCAGGAACAGCAAGTGCAAAGGCCCTGAGGTGGAAGGGAGCCAGACCTGGAGTGTGGGGGGAAGTGGTGGGTGCCCAGTGGGAAGGCTTGGGGACAAGGGCTACATCTTGCTCCTGAAGCCTCCAGGCTGGGACCTGACCACCGGAGCACACCTCTTAGCCCCCCTGTGCCAGGCTGGCAGTAGGGGCTCACTGGGGACTTTTTCTTCCCTGACTGGTGGTACAGCCAAGTGCAAGTCCTGTTGGGGACCAGAGTCACCCATCACACTCAGGCCTCACCCCCACCCAGCCCTGGTGCGCCTTCAAGAGCACTCAAACATCTCCCAGCCTCCGGGCCTCTGTATGTACCCGGGCCAGGGCTGCCCTTCCGGGGTTCTCTGAAAGACTGGCTCCTTCCCACCCTTCAGTTGAGCCCCCAAGTTAATTCACCATAAGCAGATGTCCTCCCCGCTCGCATTTCCCTCAAAATACAACCGCGCATGGCCACCAAGTGCCCCAGGCCTTTGACTTGGCTACGGAGTCCACGAGCAGCAGCTCCAGCTGTCTGGTTGTTGGTGGACCACCCAAGTCAGCAGGATCCCTGAGGGGGAGTAGGGAGAGGGCTTCCCCCCACCCCCAGGAGCCCCCAAGCCTGTGTGCCTTCCCTCTGCCCACTCCGTGTACCTCGGTGAGGGGCCGCGGCCGTTTCTCCACCACAAACTCCGTGTGGCATAGTTCACAGTAGCTGGTGTTGGACGAGGACAGCCACCTCTCCAGGCAGCTCTTGTGCACGGCGCCCAGCGTGCCGGTGCAGCCGCACGGAGACAGCAAGCTCTCCCCATTGGCTCCCTCATGGCAGATCCGGCAGAAGGGACCATCGCTAAACACAAGAGACAGGACTCGTGAGCAGTGACTGGGTTTCCTGCCCATACCTGCACTGCTTCATGGCTTCCACAAGGCAGATTCCTACTCATCCTGCAATGCCCAACTCCAAATGTCCTCTCCCTTGGGAAGCCTTCCAAGATTCCCATAGATGGAGTGATGAGTTTCCTCCCCAGGGCTCTTGTGGCACTTTTTAAAAAGGCCCTTGCCAAGAACACAGGAGGCAGCTTTAAAAAAGTTTGTGGAAAAGTTCCATGATCTTTTCATTCCATTTTCCCTCAAACGTTTGAAGATTCCTCCTATGTAGTAGCTGCCTGCCTAGCATCCACTACCCCCCTTTGCCAGCTAATACCACCCTGAATGTCCTGGGTGACCACCCCACCCCCAACTCTTGGTCATCAAAACTAGGGCAGGCCTGGAGACGCCCCTGATGATCTCAGGCCTGGCCAATCAGAGCAGTACACACCCTGGTCTCAGGGAGGGCAAAGGTGATGCAATCAGAGCCACTGGGAATCAAGTCCTGAAATGTTCCCCCACACCAGCACTGCAGGCTGCTGGCAGGGAGGTCTGTGAGTCTGAGCTCCAGCAATCACCTGTGAACAGCGCCATCCCAGAGGAGAGCAGAGGACATTATTGGAGGCCTTGGATCTAGCCACACCTGAAGGTGGCCCTGCCTGAGAGCCCACAGGCCCCCCTGCCCTGGCCAGGGGCCCAGAAACCCAGAAAGCTTCTGCAGAAAGCCTCCCAGAGAGCTTGTCTCTAGGCCGCTGGGTCCTCCCTCAGGCCCAGAGGCCACATAGCACATATGAGTCATTGTTTTCCAGAAGTTTCTGTCCAGAACTTGGACTTAAGAAAAAACACAAAGGAGGCCGTGCAGGACAGCTGTTTTCTAGATAATGCTAGCTTCTGTTTCCTCTCCATCTCTGTTTCCTAGCTGCTGAAAAACCAAAGGACGCTGGGAGCAGCCTCCTCAGAGCTGCCTGCCCCTCAGGGAAGCTGCTGTTCGTTCCCCCTCTGTCAAGGGTCTGTCCTGAAGCTCCATTCTGACCCCACCAATTAGTAGCCCCCTCATTGCTTCCCCCCAAATAACAATGCGAGCAGAAAAGGTGCCCCTGCTCTGGGGGGGCATGGCAACAGAAACCCTGAGGAAGGGCCCCCTGAGCTTGGAGTCAGGCCTAGGAAACCCTTGAAAATCCTGGGGAGCAGGAAGAAATGCCACTGACAGGTGAACCAGAAGCCCACCTGGCTGCTAGGCCAGCGTCTCTACCTCATGGTGCCCCCGTGTGTATGAGAGGAGAACCGTGCACCCTGGCAGACCTCAGCTGTGACCTTCTGGAAACAGGTTACCACGTCTTAGTTCTGGGTCATCTCTGGGCTCCCCATCAAATGTCTACCTCGTCTCAGCCAAGTTGAGGGTCACCTATAGTGGACAGGTTCCAGAAGAACTTCCAGACAAAGAGAGACTAGGAAGGAGGACCTGGCGGCTGACTCCCCAGAGAACTGGCCAGTGAAAACGTCATCAACAGCAGTGGGCCGGTGTCTGGACAATGGTGCTGGGAAATGAACCCCTCGGGCTAAACGGCATCCTATGTTGACTGGGGATGAGCTGGCGCCTCAAAAGGAGTTGCCCTTAATGATGTAGATGGAGTAAAGCTCTTAGGGCCTACATTTGCTCCTGTGCCATGACTGAAAATAAGAAAACACAGCTGCAAGCATCCATCCACTAACAACCAGAACGTGAACGTACGAAGCATGAGTGGAGGAAAATAGGAAGTTGTCAAAAATGAAATGAAATACATAAAGATTCACCAGCTGCTCCTTGGAAAGCCTACACTACAGAGTCGCTATGGGTCGGAATCAACTCGACAGCCCTTAACAACAACAACAGCGAGTTGAAACGGACTGGTATTGGCTACTTTGAATCAGACCAACATATGTCTATGATAAACTGAAGAGGAATAGCATTGCATTCATGCTCAAAAAGAGCATTTCAAAATCTATGTTCAAGTACAATGCTGTCTATAATAGTATCTGTTTGCCTACAAGAAAGACCAGTAAATACCACTATTATTCAAATTTACACACCAACCACTAAACCCAGAGATGAAGAAATTGAAGATTTCTACCAACTTCTACTAGGAGCTCTGGTAGCGTAGTGGTTACAAATCGGGCTGCAAACCTTAAGGTCAGCAGTTCAAAACTACCAGCTGTTGAGGGTTGGAAATCTAAAGGTGGACATTTTGTAGCAAGGAGGGGAGCGATTAACTTTTCAGTCTAGGAGCGGAGGACCCTGGGACCATCAATGGAGAAGAGCGTAGAGCGGGATCCTACCCAGAGAGGCAGTGAGGCCTGAGATGGAGGCAGAGAAGATGACATGAAAAGATGGAGTAGCTGGGGACTTGGGATCCAGAGAGGGAATGGGGCTGAGGACTGGAGGGGTGGGAGAGGCAGGCTTGCAGGTTACACCCTTTGGTTGGGTGAGGGTAACTATACCAATTAAGTGATGTATGATAGAATGAATGTAAAACTAATGTTCTCCCATGTAGACTGTCACACAATTCACAATAAAACATTTATTTAATTAAAAAATAAATAAATAAAATAAAAAGCTAAAGTGAATAGAGAGAAGTACTGTTAACTGACAGTACATGGAGAGGATTATAATCATTGTAATAAAACAAGGTATATGATTCGTTGAATGTAAAACTGATGATATGCCATGTAAACTTTCACTCAATCCACAATAAAAACCTTACATAATAATAATAATAATAAAAACTACCAGCTGTTCCGTGAGAGAAAGATGAGGCTTTCTGCTCCAGTAAAGATTTACAGCCTTGGAAACCCTGTACAGGGTCGCTATGAGTTGGAACCAACTCCACGGCACAGAACCACCACCAACAACAACTTCTACAGTCTGAAAATTGATGAGGCACACTATTCAAGATGCATTAATAATTACTGGGGATTGGAATGTGAAAGTTGCAAATAAAGAGGAAGGACTGACAGTTTAAAATTATGGCCTTGGTGACAAGAACGATGATGGAGATCAGAGAATTGAATTTACAAGACCAGTGACTTACTTTTTTCAACAAAATAACCAGTGACCATACTCAAGGACCTTACCAGATGGAAGACACGGGAACCAAATTAACTAAATCTGTGGGAAGAGGCAGTGGGGAAGCTCCATATCACCAGTCAGAACAAGACCAGGGGCAGAGACTGCAGAACAGATCATCAACTGCAATTTCAAGCTGAAGCTGAAGAAAATGAACACAAGTCCACTAGAACCGAATTATGACCCTGAGTCTATCTCACTTGAATTAGGGGTCATCTCAAGAAGAAATGTGAAAAATTGAACACTTCTGACCAAAGACCAGATGAGTTGTGGGGTGACATCAAGAGCATCCTACATGAAGAAATGAAGTCATTAAAAAGACAGGAAAGGAGTACAAGAGCAAAATGGATGTCAGAAGAGGCTCTGAAGCGTGCTCTTGAACGCAAACTACAGCAAATGGAAGAAATGGTGAAGTAAAACTGCTCAACAGAAGATTTCGAAGGGTGGCACCAAAAGACAAAGAAAGGGATTATAATCAAATGGATTTAAAATACCAAAAGGGAAAAGCATGCTCAGCATTCTCAAGCTGAAAAGATGAAGAAAAAGTCAATCCGCAAATTGCAATATTGAAGGATTCTATGGGCAAAATTTTAAGCAATGCAGGAAGCATCAAAAGAAGATGGGTGCAGAAAGCTTGTAAATCCATCTTCTGCTTATAACATGGGGCTACTACATGCCCAGTGAAGGAGGCTTCTGGCGGAGCCTGTGCATCACATAAGACTACAGGTGGAATCCTGAACAGCATCCAGAATCTTCAGAGGTGCGAAATTTCCACTTGAAAGAACCGGCAGACCAGCCTGGAATGGCTAGAAGAACAGAAGATACTTCCTGAAAGAAAGACCGACAGGAAAAATACAAAACAATATAGGTAGACCAACTGATTACTACAAGAACAAGCAAGTTGCTCGTCCAGGAAACATCAAGGCAAGTGGTGGGGTCCCCTCAGAGCAAACCCTCTTCCAAGACTAAGACTCAATGGGAATACACGCTCTGATTGGTGACCACTTTCATCACCGATAAGGGGAAGTGAGGGAAAAACAGCAATGAAGCTACGAGCTAAGCCCTACAATGTTCTATAGACTCCTGTGACCCTGGTTACCCAGCAGTGTGACAAGACCTGGGGACTCTTGAGCCCAGAGTCAGTGACATAGCCACAGAGGACTAGAGTGGAGAGTGAAGCATCCAGCTGATAAGAAGAGAGGGCATATGCACAAGAACACCCACACTTGCAGATAATACCCACTTGACCTGGCTTCAATGACTGGATGATCAGAGCTCAACTAGAAGAAGAAAGAAGAGGAAAAAAAGAGCAATCTGATACAATTTGATGAACTTGACCTACACCTATGGATGCAGTAGCTCAAAAGAGGGGACAAATCCTTACAGCAAGGATCATTCCCACCCCCTCCATACACAGAGTGGACAGGGATGGACAACTTGGACATTGGCTACCCAAAGTGAGGGGGCTACAAAGGCAAGAAGTGACTGGCTTACAAGCTTCCAACAGGGAACCTAGATTCAGAGGGTGTGGAGGAAGGTAGAATCTCCACTGAGTAGTATCCAATCTGTCTAGGCGGGGCTGATGAAAGGAACTGTGGATAGGTCTCTTGTGATACAATAGTGAATAACTGTTATCAGGACTGATTGTGAGGGTTGGAAATGTAAGGGTTTTGTAGCAAGAAGGGGAGTAATTAACTTTGCAGTCTAGGAGCGGAGGTCCCTGGGACCATCAAGGGAGAAGAGCAGAGAGCGGGACCCTACCCAGAGAAGCAGTGATGCCTGAGATGGAGGCAAAGACGATGACATGGAGAGATGGAGCTGTTGGGGACTTTAGACACAGAGAGGGAGAGGGGCTGTGTGCTGATGACCTGGGGGCAGGC